AATGATTGTTCTTTGATATAAACTTGCAACAAAAGTAATTCATAACAAAACAATGGGGAAAAATTGAGAAAGCTACAAAAATAATTTGAGTGGGTACAAACAATAAACCACTTTTTCTCAACTAAATCACCAAGTCTAACACTGTTTCAATCAATTGACTCTTTTAAATTTGTCTATGTATATTTCATTTTTAAACCATTATCTTGGAAGTATCCTCAAATGGTATTGGTTAAGGAAAACTGATTGCTTAATGATTTGATTGTCTTGTAAGAGCATATGTATAGTAATAACTACATATAAGACACAGTGGTGATGGTTTGAGGGGGGAATGATGGGGTTGGAATCTGAGCCCCAGAAAGGAAAAACCCTGGACTTTCCCACATAGCCAAATATCTGGTGGCTACAGTCCCATCAACTGGTCTTTCATTGTGGCTACACCCAATCTCCCCTCCATTGTCTTGCCTCCCTATAGCCCCAGGTCACTTCCCACCCTTAGTCCCACCTAGGCTCCATTTCCCACCCTTGGGAATTCCATTACCTCATGGACTACTCTCCCACAGTCTTTCTGTATATAAGGTCCATCTTGTCTCCATTAAGATGCTGAGATTCTTAAAATCTAGCCACTGCTCAGATTCTTAAAATCTTGGCTTAGATTCTTATAATCTAGCCACTGCTTACCCATTTTCAGACTCCTTAAGAGTCTGCTCAAAATGATGGATGTTCTAATAAACCTTGTCTTTGGCTGAAAGAAGGCTTGGGTCGAATACTTTCGGGCAGGACCCGTGTGTTGTGATTCTGGGGTCCCAGCACCCCTGAACCCCTAAACCGCATCACTGGGGTATGGAGTAAAAAAGGTTGAAATATGGAGTCAAAAAACCCGAGTTCAAATCTGGGATATGATAATTACTAGCTTGTGACTAATAACCCCTCTAAGCCTGCATAAAAATTGAATAATTACATGCACTACCTCACAGGGTTTTCCTAAAGGAAGGGTTTTGTTAACTTTAAAGAGCTATGTATATGTGAATCATCATTATTAAATATTAAGGAATATTGATTAGTTGTAGTATTGAATAGATTAGATCACAGACTTCTGTGTTTTTTGAGAGAGTGGAATAGTTTTAGATTTAAGACAGTAGTCTCTGATGAAATTTCTGATATTAAAATATCTTAACAGAAAGACAGTTCTATGAGATTTGACTGTGACTACTGCTTACTATAGTTTCTCCAATGGAGCCACATTTCTAGGATAAGGTCACTTCTTCAAGAAAATCTATTTGTGTTCGTCTCTGAGGCCACCTTAGAGAAAAGGAAACTGAGGTACAATGAAGAGAACACTAGATGTAGACTTTGAAGACCCAACCACTTAACCCTGAGCAAGTCACTGTCTTTAAGCTCTTTTAACTCCAGTTTCTTCATCTATAAAACTGGAGAGGGCCAATGAGACATGAACTACCTTTAAGACTTTGGTCAAGTCACCAAACCTCCCTGTGCCTCACTTTTGCCATCCGTAAAATAAGTTGTTGATTGGAACAAACAATGGTAATGGCCTCCCTGACAAGATGCCCTGAGACACCCTCTAGGCCTAGAACTACAACAATATTTCATAAGGACGTTGTGGATAAATTAGAAAAACTAAAGTACTATATAAATGACTGCCATTTTGAAAACTAATTTGAGATAATTCTGGCCATTAAGTTTAAACAAATATCTATCACATGATCTTCACTCTTTCACAGTTCTGAAAAAAAAATTTAAAAGAAAACTTTTTTTAAAGGTAGGAGTCATGAACATAATAAGTGGATATGATTGGTTTAACTTTTCAGAGAAAATAGGATCAAATCATATATTTTAAATGCTCTGCAAAAGCTTAAGATACTATGCAAATGTTCAACATTATTATTTTTGTAGAGACATAAAATTGTGGACCCACAAGGACCTTCCTAAATTATTTAACCTAATCCCCTCACTTTCAAATTGCGGTCCAGAGAGGTTGTCAATCAGTAAATATTTATTAAGTACCAACTATGTGACAGGCACCGTGCTGAGGATACAAAAAAAGGCAAAAGACCATCCTTGCCCTCAAGCTCACAATCTAAGGAAGAAGACAACAAGCAAGCAAAAATGTACAAACAAGATATATACAGGCTAAACAGGAAATAATTATAAGAGGGAAAGTACTAGAATTAAGAGGATTGAGAAAGGTTTCCTGTTGAAGATAGGATTTTACTTGGGAAACCACAGAACATCCTTGGGAAAGCACACAGGCAGTAATGAAGGAGAGCAGTCTAGCATGGAGATCAGCCAGAGAGATGGGAATGACTGGGAGAAAGGTGTTCTGTAGTTAAGACTGAAAACTGGCCAGTCTGGAAGTACTAAGTTATAAAGGGCTTACATTTGATCCCACAGGTATAAGAAGCCACTGGAGTTTGTTGAGTGGTGGTAAAGGGAGAGGGAGATGAACTGGGTGATACACTGGATCTGTGATTTAAGAAAACCACTTTGGTGGCTGTGCTAGTTTCATGGTGTGTTGTGGGGTCATCTCAAAGAATTCAGACTCAGACCACCTTCAATCCAAGGGAAGGCATTTATTGAGGGTGATGCTCTCCAGTGGGTTGAGTTCTAAGAGGAACCAGCAACTTAGTAAGACAAAACAGGCAATTTTATAATGTAATGATGCTGATTACCCAACAGAAGTTATGAATATTAAAAAAGCAGGAGGGAGTTTGTCAAGGGATTAAGTAATGGTGGAGGGGTTTGTTAAGGGATTAGGTTATGGGGTGGTGGGTCCCCAGCCTCCCAGCAACTACACATGCAATTACTCACAATGCATACAGAAAAACTCATGAGTGAGAGCACTAATACATGATATATGATAATGATATCTACATAACACGTTCACCTAAAGGACAGCTTTTGCTACTATTGTGCAGGTACCTACTTAAAGAATGTCTCTTCTATTGTTTTGGGGTACACATCCTGTTCAGGAATCCTAGTGGTGCTGCTAATTGGCTGGCCATTGTGGTACTGTCTGAGATTAGATGGATGTGGTTTTGATTGAGTACATGGACACACCTGCTGTTTTCGTGGGAAATATGAAGAATGGGTCTGCAGGCTAGCTGGAAGCAGTGGCTGGGATCCCATCACATGAACACACCTGTTATTCTAGTGCGAAATGAGTTCATGGACACACTTGCTACTCTAGTGAAGCAGTGGGGCCTATAAGGAAGTTAAAATATTGGGGCTGGTAGTAGCTTTATTAGGATTCCATCAGCTGTATGGAGAATAGACCTGAGGAGGGAGAGACTTGAGGCAGGCTACTGCAATGATAATCCAAGCTTGTGTTGAGTAGGTTGTGACTTGCCCAATGTCACACAACTATGTGGGCAGCAGAGGGAGAACCAGAACCCAGGTCTCCTAAATTTCCCTCTAATTTTCTTACCCCTACATCGAACTTTTACTTTGGAAACTTGGAAATTCCTACTAAGGGGAATGACTTCAGTAAAGTGGTCTAAATAACAAGAGTTCTAAAATACTATAAGAACTCTAGGGGGGGAGACAGGGAGAAAAAGAAAACTCTTCAAAAGAGGCACTTCAAATTGAGGTCCAGACAGGTTGTGACTTGCTTAAAGTCACACAAATAATGACACAATGGTGTGTTGGAGCCAACTCAAACCAGCTAAATTTTGTTAAATTTTCAAGGTAAGCCTGTAGGCAAAGAATACGAATCAGAGCTTGGTTTTGTTTTGTTTTCTTATCTAGTGTTTTGGTTCTTATCTAGACTTAAGGAGAAATATTAATAATGCAGATTAAATTTAAAAACCTGTCATGGGAATTTTTTGTTGTCGTTGAGCCAGTTAAACATCTATCAGCACACTCCTTGGATGGCAGAATGGGACTAGATCCCAAGTCTCCTGAATTTTAGCTCATGGCGTACCAGCTGTGAAATGTTCATCTCAGATGAATAACTTCAGATAAGCGGCCTCTTAAAAAGAATAAGAGTTCTGGAGTAAACTGCACCATGACATAAGAACAGCATACTGGTGGGGAGGTTTGGACGGTGAAGGAAGTGAAAGAAAATGAAAACTTTGTTTTTTGGAAGTTATTTTTAAAAAAAGGTTTCTTAATTCAAGCTTAACTGGTACATCAACGTTTCGTTATTTCATAACGGGTGAAAAAAATCATTTGAGGGTGGAGGAAGGGGGGGAGTGGAGGGGAGGGCGACGCTGAGCAACTGTAAATTTGGGCCAAGCTTCCGAGGCATCTCCCATTGGCATTCAATGTCTCTTCCCTGGGAGAAGGAGACAACTCCCGGTGTCACCCTCAGGAGGAGACTGAGCAGCCGACTCAAGTCCACATAGACGCTAGAAGCGAAGCGCCCACGACAAGCCCCGAATACAGGGGAGTCGGGGGCGACGGAGACAGAACGGGCACCAGAGGAGGGGGCACCCTTCCCTTCCCCTTCCCAGAGGCAAGAGGCCTCCGCACCTCACAAACACCCGACCGCGCCGCCTTCCCTCCGTTATGGGCCCAGTTCTGCTTCAGGTCCAAGACCCCGACTCTATTTAGTGTAGTGGAGCGGAGGGGAGGGGGCGTAAAAAGAGAGAGGAAAGCTAAACGAACCCTTCCTCTTCGGGAGTCAACCGGGGCGGAAGCTCGTCCATCCTAATTCCCACGGCTCCGGCCTCAGCTTCTTAACTCTACTTATCTCTCAGCCACAGGAAGTAAGGTGAGCACACTGAACGAAAGGGGAGGAGTAAAAGCCAGTGACTAGGAAATACGTCAGCACAGCCGCACCAAACCCCGCCTCCTCCCCGCCCACAAACAGACAGCACGCTTTGTTTTGAATAAACAAACTTTATTCAACCTCCCTTTATAGGGCAGTCAGACGCCTGCAAGGCGCAGGCTCGGGGTCCCAACCGGATACCGTGGAGGGGGCGGGGAAAATGAGGGATAAGCGCAAAAGATGTCGCGTGAGTAGTACTCCCGGTACGGGAGTGCGCGCATGCGCCGGCTTGAAGGCTGGCGGGTTGAGCCAGGAGCTGGAATGGGTCGGGTCTCTGTTGTGGGGTTTGGAGATTTCAGGATAACCTTGGCTTTGCAGACGAGGGAAGTTTGTAGCCGTCTTCTCTCGCTTTAGTCGAGGTCAGTGACAGCCGAGCCCCGGCCTGCCCCTCCCTTCTCCTGGGCGGGTGGCGGCCTCTCTCTCCCCGCCTCCTGGGTCACGTTGCCTCCCCCTCCTCCGCTGACCTGCTTCATTCTACAAATGGTTGAAGGCTTCCAATGTGCCCGAAGTCCCCCGGGATAAAAAGATAAAACAGATCTGCTTGGGGAGGTAAGAGATAGGGCCCTGGGGGAGACCTGGAAGGTCGTCTAGTCCACACAAACCTTCATCCTTCAGATGGAGCTGAGGTTCTGAGAAGTGAAGTGACTTTCGGAGGGTCATCCAGTGAATGAAGAGGTGGGATTCAAACTTGCGTCGTAAGACCATCACCTTAGAGTGTTGTTGTTTAGTCGTTTCAATCGTGTCGACTCTTGGTGACCCCATTTGGGTTTTCTTGGCAGAGATACTGGAGTGGTTTGCCATTTCCTTCTCCAGCTCATCGTACGGATGAGGAAACTGAGGCAGACAGAGGTGAAGTGACTTGCCCAGGGTCACAAAGTTACTAAGTGTCTGAGGCTGGATTTGTACTCAGAAAGATGAGTCTTCCTGATTCCAGACCCTGTGCTTCTCCACCTAGCTGTCTCTCACCTTAGAGTAGGAGCATCTTTTTTACGTTAAATTCAGCTAGGTGTCCAACTGGATACATCCCTGGACCCAGAGTTCAAAGCTAGTCTCAGATGCTTGTGACCCTGGGCAAGTCACTTAACTGCTCTCTGCCTCAGTTTCCTCATTTGTAAAATGAGGATAATAATAGCACCTCTCTCTGAAGGTTGTTGTGAGGATAAAATGAGATGATATTTGTAAAGTATTTTGCAAAACTTACAGCACTATATAAATGCAAGCTGTTTTGTAAGGGACCTTTCCGGCACCCTAGTGAAGCCTTCAGACCCATTCTCAGAATATTTTTAAAAAATTCGTAATTGAAGGAAATACTTAGTTTCATTTACAGGTTGGTGAAAATAAAGATGTATTTTTTTTTTAATGGAAGCCCACAAACCTCTTGACATCTGTCCATGGACCCACCAACAGTAAGAACCCTTGCCTTAGAGGTCACCTAACCTGACACCCTCATTTACAATTAGGGACACTTAAGACCCAGAAAGGCTAAGGAACTAGGCCAAAGTTTGGAAGGTTAAGCAAGTAGCAGAGCATGAATTTGAACTCAAAAGTCCTTATTCCAAGTTCTGTGCTCTTTTTATGGTGCCCAATCCATCATTCTTTCCACTGTGAAGAAATAGTTATAATACAAGAAAGTCTGGGCACAAGTGATATCACCTTAAAGAATGAAGTTTATAATATTCTGTGTAAAAGGACCTGCCGGGTGCTCTAGCCATTTCTAGCTTTTGAGGCCCTTAGCTCTAATAAAATAAAAATAAAAATCATGAAAACAAACAAGGCATCAAAGAAAAGATGATTAAACTGTTTTAACAAATAATGTCCTAGAATCTTTCCCTTAGCAAGTGTATTAATTTTGCAGCTCCACAAACATTAAGTTTATGTGAAAGGTCCTCTAGGAAGAAAAAAACAAACGATCTCAAGGAACTTCTTTTTCCACTGATGGATAGGTTATAACATGCATAGATAAGTAATCCCAGATGGTTGAAGGGGGAAGAGACAAGAGGAGAGAATCACTGTAGAAAGTGGCACCAGAGCTGAAATTGAAAGAAGCTAAGATTCTAAGAGGTAGAGGTGAGGAAGGGAGTCACTCTCAACATAAGAGGACAGCCTGGGCAAATGCACAGAAAGAATAAATGGAAAGTTGGGTCTAGGGAATAGCTCTGCTAGAAGACTGAAGCATACGCTGAATGAAAGTGTGTCATATGAAATTATATCTGGAAAGGTAGGTAAGAGCTAGACCATGGAAGTCTTTTAAATGTCACCATGAAAAATGTAGGTTTTTCTTAATCCTAGAGGGTGAAATAGCCACTGAAGTTTTCTGGCTACTGACAGGGTAAGACCTATGTTTTAAAGATAATAATTTGGCACCTGTGTAGAGAATAGATTGGAGAGGTGTTGCAGTTTCAAGGTGTCTTGTGTGGTGGTTTCTAAAGAATTCACAAAAAAAAAAAAAAGAATTCACAGACTCAGATCATCTACAAGCTAAGCAAAGGCATTTATTGAGAATTATGCTTCTTGGCAGCAAACGATGCAATTACATCATTACAGAAAATATGATATTAAAATATAGGAGGGTTTGTTAATTTGGGAAGGAGTCCTGGTGGAACTGTGCATGTGACTACTCATAATACATAAAGAAAAACCCATGGTGGGGGAGGTATGGTAATGAAATTATAATAAGCCTCTCTATATCATAAGTTCACCTACAGACAGTTCTTTGCTATTACTATGTAGGCGCCTACTTAAGAAAAGCCCCTTCTGTGATTTAGTGGTCAAACATCCTGCTCAGTATCCTGTTGGTGCAGCTTTCTGATTGGCTGGCTATTGCAGTCCTGTCTGAGACTATATGGATGGTGTGATTGAGACCATGTGAGGCATATGAGGAAGTTGAGATATTGGGTCTGGGGGCAGTGGCTAAATAGAGGTAGTGGTTAGAATTCCATCAGAGGGAAGACATTAGGAGCGTGTTTCAAGAATCCGTTTGATAAGTGATGAGGGAGGACCTCAATTAGGGTAGTGGTATGTGAGCACAGAGAACATGGTAAGGGTTTTGTAGAGATGAAATCAACAAGGCTTGCCAGCTAATTGGATGTGAGGAGGAGGAGGGGTGTGAGAGAAAGAGAAGAGTCAAGGATAAATTCAGATTTCAGACTTGAGTGATTGGAAGGATAATGTTGCCATCACAGAAATAACCAAATTTGGAAGAGATGAGGTTTAAGGAAGGAAGATAATGAGTTAGCTTTAGCCATATGATCATAGATTTAGAATCGAAAGGGACCTCAGAAACCATTTACTCCATTCCTATAGTTGTACAGTAGGGAAATTCAGTTCAAGAGAGTTTAAGTGACTTACCAGAGGTCACTTGGGAATTAAGTAGGAGAGCCAAGATTCACACTCAGGTCTCTAAACTTTAGCACACTTTCCACTGTACTGTGTAGGTAGAGATGTCAGTGGTAGATCCTGTGAAATGTCCAGTAGGCAGCTGGAGATTCAAGACTGGAATTCAAAACTGAGAAAGTAGTATCACAGAATTTGAAGCTATGAGACATCTGAGCCTGAAGACTACTGATGTAATGGACAGTAGGAATGGGTTACTAAGATGGGAATTGTGCTATCATCCTCTATAAGGCCTGATCACCAAAGGGGACTGCCCCCAGTATCTCCTGTAAATGCATCGGTCAGTCTCCCTATTCATTGTTTGCTATTATAAGCCCCATAGTAAATACCCTTGGTGAAGCGTTTGTCATATCAGTTAGTGATTCATTGAGGAGACTGCATCTCTCAAAAGAACCAAAGGGAGGGAATGAGAGAAATTATTATTTTGTTCTTTATATTGACAGCCAATTGTTAAATGAAGATCAAAATTTTTTTCCTCATTTAGGGCCCAGCCTCAGTAGGTTGGTCAATCAGTCAGTCTTTCAGTCTCTGGAGGACATAGTTGATTGGTGAGATTACCCCTAACCCTCCAGAAACATGCTTCTCATTCTTGGCCCAGACACCACCCAACTGGGATGCAGGGGAGTATAAACAGAATCCAGTCTGGGCAAGTTCTTGCCCCCGAGGAGTAGAGCCCTGTCCTTGTATTTAGGGTGACCGAGGTCATGAAAGAGAAAACAAACCAGAGTGGTCTGGGTGGAAATGAATTCCTTTGTTCAGATTACTGGACGTGGCTGAGTCTCAGGATCAAACCACACTCTCAGCAGGAGGAACTGAAGACTCTTAGTCTACTTCCTCATTAAATGTTCTTCGATCAGGGTTGATTTCTCCTGTCAGGGGCCTCCCCTTTTACAAAGGTATTTAAAACATTCAGTGTCTCCATTAAGGAGATCTTTGGTTACCAGGAGAAACCACTGACTATCAGTTTACGGATTATTAGCTAACAGAATTATTAATCACCCAGAAACTCCGTCTCAGGTTTTTCATTCATCTCATGTGGTTGTAGATATGGCCACATATGCACACCCTTCATGACCTTGCATAACATCGGCATCTTTCACAATAGCTTCTTAGTATATTGCAAGCAAAGCTAACCTTGCCATTTTAAAATTCAACTAACTTCCAACCATTTACCAAGGAGAGAAGTTGTGAGAGGTGTCAGATTGGTATATAGTGGAAATGTGCTCCATGTTCCAGAGTACAATTATCCCTTCCACATTGCAACTTTCCCCATCTCACTTTCAGTATATCTTGGGTTAGCATAAGAAATTAAATGGAAATTTTGGGAAAGTTTTATGAAAGCTGCAGATAACACATGAAAGCCAGCAGGTGGCGTAGAAAAAATTTAGAAATTAAGAAATGCATAAAATATATGTATAGTATTATATAATTTTGACATATTTTATCTTTTAATACCATAATAATTCAGATTTCTTCACTGGTCCAAAGGGAGGGCCAAAAAATTTTATGTGGATTTCCAGATTGGGGGAGGGGAGTGCTTTGCTTCTAGCCCCCTAGAAATGGAAGGGATAACTCTATATAGTTCTGAAGGATCAGTCTGGCCTGACCCCGGTGGTTTTCTACATACCTATAGCTGACAAATTGATTTTGCTGGTTCTCCTCCCCCACAGCAGGACAAGACTGCAGTTAATACTTATTCAGGATATCAGCTTGTAGTGCCAGTTAAGTCTCTTACTGAGGCAGCCAGTCACGGCCCTTTAAGAATACATCCTTCTTCCATATGAGAGCTAGATGTTGCATTGGATAGAGCACTGGACTTAGTTACAGGAAGACCTGAGTTGAAATCTAGCCCCAGACACTTACTGGCTATGTGACCCTAGGCAAGGCATTTAATTTCTATTTCCTCAGCTGTAAAATGGGGATAGTAAGAGCACCCACCTTGCAAAGCTGTTGTGAGTATCAAATATTTGTAAAGCACTTAGCACACTGCCTGGCATGTGGTAGGCACCATAGAAATGCTTATTCCCTTTCTCCCTGTGGGCTCCCTTCTGCCATTGCCTCTGCTCAGGATACCCATTTTACTCTGAACAAGCACATTGCCTTCACATTTGCTGTGTTTCTCATCTTCCATACCATCTCCAGGCAGCTGATATCAT